GTGTTTCAGATGAGGAGTGCATTGTTCACTGCTCTATGCCTAACAAGCTTGTACCTGGTTTCTCTGATATGTTGTTCATGTGCCTACATGATCCTAATTTAACTTGATGAGTTCACAGCTAGCAATTTTACTCAGGTAAAGAAGGTGTATCTCAGTCTGTGCCTCGACTTGCGCTAAACAGGTAGTCATTGTTTATTCCCACAAACAAGATTAATTTCATCATATCTTAGCACATGTGCTTGGCATGGACCAACTGCTGTTCAAGAAAAATGGAGTCACTCGGGGAGAGGCCCAGCCTGAAGCTGCTGTTCCGTATAACACAGAATAACATGATTACCAATCTCTATAGGAATGTTATTATCCATCTCCAATTCAAAGCTGATATATCATTAATATGACAATAATCAAAATATGAACACAATTTCCTAAAGCTTGAAAGAGAAAATAGAATGCAATGACACAAACCATGGGAAGGTTTAAATAAATTCTTTAATTTAACAGATGGTAATGAAAGTCAACATGGGATTAAAAGAACACGTGTTCTATCCTAACTATACGTTTTCATTCATAAACATGTACAGCATCTTTACAAAGATCAGTCTTTTTTTTTTTTGGTCTTGGGGCCTGGGCGCTGTCCCTCAGCTCTTCAGCTCAAGGCTAGCTCTCGACGACTTGAGCCACAGCATCACTTCTGGCTTTTTCTGCTTATGTGGTGCTGAGGAATCAAACCCAAGGCCTCATGCATTCGAAGCAAGAACTTTACTACTGAACCACCTTCCCAGCACCCAAAGATGAGTCTCTTATAAAAAAGAAAATCTCAGTGCTCTAGAATCTTAGAAATTATACAAATAACATTTCTTGTTAAAGAAAAACTGAAAAATAAATTCAAAGATAGAAAAGGAGATATAAAATCTTAAGAACAAGGAAAAATATAAAATTTAATGTGCAAACATGCATCCTAATTTTAGAAGAATAATATGAACATACACAAATCAGTATTTTTAAATCTATGGAGTATATCAGGGAGAATGTACATCAACTAATTTAGAGTGCTTCTTTCAGGAAACAGATTAAGAACAAGTTGGTGGTAGGTCTGAGAAACACTTTTGTAGTTTCACCGTAAACATCTTCTGCTTTGGATATATCACTTTTTGTAATCAATGAAAGACTTCTACAAATAGGAAATGAAATTCAGATTTTCAAATGACCAGGAAAAACAGCACTCCCCTTCTATAAATTACTTAAACAACAAAAATATGAGAAACACAAATATAAACTTCATCACCAGAATTAGGGCTGATGAATTCTAAAACTTTCAAAATAACTATCTCTATGAAAAATAATCTTGTAACAAAAATATGCATGTTTAAGGAAGATATGACAAAACTATGCAAACAGATAAAATCTTCACTAACAATTTTGTGGAAGGACACAATTTTTTAATTCACAAATATGCTGTCTAAATTGAAAGGATCAATAAAAAGAATGGACATTGCAGACAAATAGTGTTCAAGAGTAAAGGGAAGGGATGTGGCTTAAGTACAAGGCCCCAGGTTTAATCACCAGTATTTGGGGGGGGGGCTGGTAAAGATATTATTTTGAACCAGGAGTGGTTAATCCCAGCTACTTGGAGTCTCAGAGGCAGGAGGATTGTCTGTTTAAGGCCAGCACAAAGAGGTTAGTACTTGAAACTGAAATTATGTTTATTATTATTTATCATTATTTTTTTCCTCCTCCTCTTCTTCTTTTCTTCTTATTCCTCTTCCTCTTCCTCATGCTCCTCCTCCTTCTTGTTCTTCTTCTGAAGGGAAAAAAAGAGACCTGTTACACTTCACAGGAATACCATAAGGAAAAGACAAAGCAAGTACTTCCAACTGTTTTTGAAGTATGGGCATCAATGTGTAATGTGATTTGATCATGTTCACCCTCTCCCCTGGTTCTTTGCCCTTTTCCTCTTCCCTCTGATCCCCAAACAGTCCTACCTGTATTCATGTTGCATTATTGTTATCATTTTGGGTCTAGATACCACATATGAGCAAAAACATTTTATATTTGGCCTTTTGAGGTTGGCTTATCTCACTCAACATGATCTCCAGTCTCAACCATTTTTCTACAAATGAAATAATTTTTTTCTTCTTTATGCACTCTTTTGGGTATATATGCTTCTTTTTTTATTTATTCACTAGTTTTTGTGTACCTAGGCTGATTATATAGATAGGCTATTATGAATAGTGCTGTGATAAACATAGATTGTGCGCACATGTTGAGTCACAATTCCTTCAGATATACCATTGAGCATTTGTTCAAGGGTTGTATAGCCAAGTCATAGGGTAGTTCTAGTTTTCGTTTTGAAGGAATCTCCATAATGATTTTTATAAGTTACATTCTCAGCAACAGTTTTGAAGTGTTCCCCCAACCCCTGGCCCACAAACCCTCACCAGCATTTCTTACTGTTCATGTTCTTGATGACTGTCATTCTGACAGTCAGTGTTGTTTTGATTTTGTATTCCCTTCATGGCTAAAGATGGCGGGCATTTCTTCATGTCATTTTTAGTATTTGTACTTCTTTCAAGAACTATTTGTTCAATGCTTTTCTCCATTTATTAATTACTTTATTTGTTCTTTGGGTGTTAGTTTTTTACCTCTTTGTATATTCTGGCTATTGTCTATCCAATAAATAGCTTAAAACATTTTCTCCATTCTGTAAGCTATCTCCTCATTCTGGTAATTTCTTTCTTTGCTGTCCAGAAACTATTTCATATAATTCAATCACATTGGTACTTCTGGCTCATAATGCCTGGGCAAATGGAATCCCATCCAGAAAACAACTGTCTACGCCTATATCTTTGAGTATTTTCCCTATGTTTTCCTGTAGTACTTTCAAAGTTTTAAGCCTTACATTAGATCTTTGACTCATTTCAAATCAATTTTTACAAGGTAACCAGTAGAAGTTTACTTTCCCTCCTCTACATGCGGGCATTCAGTATTCCCAGCAGCATTTTTTGAAGACATGGACATTTATCTAATGTATATTTTGAGGTACTTTTTCAAATATCAAATGGCTGTATCCATGTGGGTTGAATTCTAGATCTGGTACCATGCTGGTTTTGTTACTATGCCTTTGTAGCATAAAAATCAGGTATCTAAAATCAGGCATTGTGATACCTCTAGCACACCTAGATAGCCCAGGCTGACCGCAAATTAAAATCCTCCTGCCTCAGACTTGAGAATCCTGGATGGTATGTTCCACCATTCCTGTCTGGGTTTATCTAACTCTGGCTACATATTCCAATTTTGCACTAAGCCATACAATAATGATCCATTGTACATATTCAATTAACAATAATAAGTAATATTTGTGTTGATTTATATTTACAATGTCATTCTACCACAAAATTGCTACTATTTCTTATATAAATGGTGTTAAATACCTAATTCTAACATGAATTGTGGGATTTTTTCACATATCTACGGAATTTGCAGACCTAATCCACATTAAGTTGCACTTACTTCCCTCTGGCAGTGCCTTGATCTGTCACTCCCAATGTATCCTTTGTCTTCTCTATTTAAAGCATCCTCACTATGGCATTTTTAGTTACACTGTGGCAGAGTTAGAGGATGCAAGCTTCAGCTCCCCCTGTAAGGAAAAACTTGCTGCAGTTACTAAAATGTGGTTATTTGACGGCTGTTAGCTCCTTCATCATGAGCCTTGTCTTTTCAAATGAGGTGTCACTGTCTTCTTGGAAAAGATCAAGCATTTCTGACCCATGTACAGTGTCCCTAATAAATACTACAGAAGTACTTGTTGGGCTGGGGGAAGACAATTCCAGGCCTGCTTGGTCCTCACCTCACTGATTCAGTCCTTTTAATTAATGCTCAAGTGTTTACACTCCTAACTGCATCTCAGTGCTGGCTTCCTAGAAACCACAGCTAGCACGGATGGCACTCAAGACAGTCAGTGGAAACAAGTATACAGTAAGACAGGAGGCTGGATTATTTAGAAACCTACTGGCTAGTAAGAACTATCTACATACATTCCTCAATAGTCTATGAGAGCTACATGGAAATAGGATGCAAACATACTTGAAATAAGAGCAAGAGAAACACAGTTTTTCATTATAATCTGAATGAAATACAGAATACAGTTAGCCTGGGCTCCCCCAAAATAAATACTTTTTTTGAACTTTGGTAAAGCATATTTTCTCTGCGGAAATAAAAATATCATCACTTTGCCAGTGTCTTGGAGTTCTAGCTTTAAGGGAGGCTCAATGAGCCTTCCGATCTCTCCAAAATAATCAGAAACATTATGAACAGTGATTCTTCAATAGTTACTAGAATACAATAAGCACAAAATTATTTAACCCATCAAGACCTTGAAGAAAATTTCACACAAAAATAAAATCATCATATATAAGAACATGTAGTCATAAGTATTTATTGAATCATTATCTTAATGACAATGCTCTAGTAATGAAACAGATGTCCTTAATAGATAAATAGATGAATACATTTGAATCATACATTGTAGAAACATATATATATATATATATATCTTTTTAAAATAATTACAGTAAGCCAAGCATCAGTGGCTCATGCCTATAAGCCTAGCTACTCAGGAGGCTGAGGTCTGATTGCAATTTGAAGACAGCCCAGGCAGGAAAGTCCTTGAGACATTTATTTCCAACTAAGTTAAAAAGAAAAAACAAAAGCTGGAAGTAAATTTGTGGCTCAAATGGTACAGCACTAGCTTTGAGCAAAAAAGAAAAAAGGTCAGGGATAGCACCCAGACCCTAAGTTCAAGCCCCAGGATACACACACACACACACACACACACACACACACACAGATTAAAGTAGTAACAGAGAAATTAGGTATATGTTTTCAAACTTGTTCAAACCAAGAAATTAAACATGCCCTTACCCAAGAAATCTAATCTGTCTTCATCATTTAGTCAATTCATTATAAAGCTCAGCCGAGCATTATGCCAACATCATAGTCTCTCACAAGTCAGATGTGTGGAAAGCCACTTTCTTTCTCCACAATTTCATAAAAGCCTTTTTCATCTCACTGTTTCTCAGGCTGTAGATAAGTGGATTCAGCAGAGGTGTGAGCAAGGTGTAAGCCAGCGAGATCAGCTTCTTGGTGTCTGGCGAATAGCTGGATTTGGGTTGCAGATAAGTCATGCTGGCAGTGCCATAGAAGAGAGTGACAGACGTAAGATGGGAGGCACAGGTGGAAAAGGCCTTCTGCCTCCCAGTGGTCGACGGCATCTTCAGGATGGCAAAGAGGATTCCAATGTAAGACAAGAGAATCAGCAGGAAGGGCACCATGACAATCAAAAGGGTGCCAGTGAAGGCATAGATTTCAAACAAGAAGATGTCTGCACACACCAGCTTCAGCACTGGGGGGGTCTCACAAAACAGATGGTTAATTTCATTGGGCCCACAAAAGGGAAAACTAAATACCCAGGTGGTCTGCACAGTTGCCACAGTGAGCCCTGAGAACCACGAGAACATCACTAACTTCACAAAAACCCTTCTGTTCATAATCACCGGGTAGGTCAGAGGATGGCAGATGGCAGCATATCGGTCAGAAGCCATTGCCCCCAAGAGAAAACATTCAGTCCCTCCAAAAAGAAGACTGCAATACATCTGCACAAAACAGCCCCCAAACGAGATGGTCGCTTTCTCATTGGATAAGATCACCAGCATTTCAGGCATGACAGCTGCACTGAAACCCAGTTCCACCATGGATAAGTTCTGCAGGAACAGGTACATGGGGATGTGGAGGCTCTGGTCCAGGCAGATGACAACTATGATTGTGACATTTCCCACCAAGATCACCAGATAAATCACCAAGAAAGCCCAGAACATCTGCTCTTGGAGTTGAGGAAAGTTAGAAAAGCCCAACAGGATGAATTCGACCACAAAGCTTTCATTTTGCTTTCTCATCTCAGTAGCAAGATCTTCTCTTGTTCTGAGGGACAAAGTATAATGAAGAATTAAGTCACATCCAGGAGCTAAAAGGTTGAGTCCGAAATTATTGGCAGAGGATATAATGGCATGTTGCTTATTCCAACAGAAATTGAGATTGGCAGGCTGGGAAGGTGGCTCAGTGGTAGAGTGCTTGCCTTGAATGCATGAAGCCCTGGGTTCAATTCCTCAGCACCACATAAGCAGTATAAGTTGGAAGTGGCTCTGTGGATCAAGCGGTAGAGCACTAGCCTTGAGATGAAGAGCTGAGAGACAGTGCCCAGGCCCAGAGACAGTGCCCAGGGCCAGAGTTCAGGCCCCACGACCGAACAACAGGAAAAAGAAAAAGAAATTCAGATTGGCAATTTTGAACAATGGCTAATAACTTGTAACAGTGAATCCTGAAAATATAACTGAAGTGAGTAATCTTAACTCTGAACTGTTATTTTAAAATTTACAATGGGTAACAGCACGTATTTTCTTGCATGCTTTTGATAGGTAGTGAAAAATTATTTAAAATAGTCTAGAGATGTGGTTCAAGCAGTAGTTTCTGCTTAGCAACCTAAAAGCCCTGAGTTCCAATCCCAGTACCAAAGCAAGCAAGCAAAATTAATTAAACTTATTCTTAAAACACATAAAACAATGTAATTTGCCAATCACAAGCATACATGCATCTACATTCCTTTTTTTTTTCCAGTACTAGGGTTTGAACTCTAAACCTGGGCACTGATCCTGAGTTTTTTCACTCAAGGCTCTCACTTGAGCCACAGCTCCACTTCCAGCCTTTTGTGGTCAATTGGAGATTTGTATCAAAGACTGCTGCCAGGGCTGGCTTCAAACCACAATCCTCAGATCTCAGCCTCCTGAGTAACTAGGATTACAGGCGTGACAGACCAGCACCTGGCTGCTCTTTTTTATTTTACTCATATTTGAATTTAAAATAAAGAGTTTGTTTTGTTTGGGGGGGGTCCAATCGTGGGGCCTGAACTCTGGGCCTAGGCACTGTCCCTCAGCTCTTCAGCTCAAGGCTAGCGCTCTACCACTTGAGCCATAATGCCACTTCTGGCTTTTTTCTTTTTACTTATGTATTGCTGAGGAATCGAACCCAGGGCCTCAGGCATGCAAGACAAGTGCTCTACCACTGAGCCACCTTCCCAGCCCCAAATAAAGGGTTTAAATTGGGTAAACTACCAACACAACACAGAAAAAAATTAAAACTAATGGTAATTCACAGTTTAAACACATTTTGTTTACAATTTATTATAATGCTAAAATATAATATGCATTTATAGTATTTAGATAAACATGAAAAATTAAAACAATTTATAGGTTGAGAGACAGACACATTTTGTTTTTAAGTTGAATTGTAAAAGTACTTATCTTAGATGGCTTCAAGCATATTGATTTCTAGTCAGGCTCTGCCTGACCAATTATACTGAAATTTGCCTCAGTGAGAAGTGTTAGAGGTCTAGTCTCCATCTCCCATCCTTGTGATTATAAACTTGCTTTTAGTGCTATAGAAAATACCACTTAGAGATATTCTGAACCTGAGACTTAATACCTTTTTCTCCCTCCTTGTCCCCTAACACACACACACACAAACATGAGGAAGTTCATTAGCCCTTTACTTAGTCAATGAACACTGATTCAGCACTTCTGTACTCTTACAGAAAAACTGAGCCATACATTCAACAACAGAGGTTAGAGGTCATCTAACCACACTGCACACAACATCACAACACAACTCCTACTTTCTCCTCTACCTATCACTGTCTAACTCCCACCTTTCCACCTCTGTATTTCATCATAGCACTCATCCCCACCTACTGAAACACACATGTATTTGAGATTTCATGCTTAGTACCTAACTCCCTCTTCTATGACATAAAATACAGGAGGACAAGAACTTTGTTCCTTTTTTATGCATTCTTGGTTTCAAAAAGAAGTAATACTTGGCTTAGTAGATGATAAACCAATATGCAATAAACAGATGGAGAAATAACTATTAAAAATTAATCCCAGGAAGTGGAATATGTAAACATACACAGGATTATTTTTACATGTACACGATGTATTAACTAAAGTATGATATATGCAGAGGATAATTCCAACTAACTTACTGTCTAAAACAATGATTACTGGGAAGCTGGTACTTGAGAAGTGAGCAGATGGAGATGAACTCAAGGGGAAGGGGAGCACACAAACGATCAGAGGAAGGGTGGGAAAATGAAGTCATAATATTCAGTGTATGTATGTGAAAATGGAACTAGGAAAATTGACAGGTTGGGTGAGGTTGGGAGAAAAGGGGAAGAATGATGAAAGGAATGACATTAATCAAGATGCATTGTACTCATAAGCTGACATGTTGATTGGAACCTCTTTGTACAACTACTTAAAGATACCAAAATACTATGAAATTTGTGGGCAAACGGGGGGGGGTGGCGGTGAAGAGACTGGGGGAAAGCAAGGAATGGGTGATATTGTCAAAAAGAATGGTACTCATTATCGGACTTATGAAACCTCTCTGTACAACACCTGAATAATAATAAAATTATATTTTAAAAATAACAAAATAATTTTAAAATAATCCAGACTTTACTCTTACAGAATATTGTGTCTGGTGGAAAATTAAGTCTAAGATAAGAGAACAGAGATGATCTGTATTTAATACTGGCTTTCTTAGTTTAAAGCAGCCTTGTGGGTTTGGAAATACCACTGAGTTTGAGAGACAGTTTTTGTGGCTGTTGTTATTGTAAAAGTGATGTGCAGAGGAGTTACAGTTACAGAAATCAGCTAACAAGGACATTTCTTTTTGGACAGTGTCACCCCTTCCCTTGCTCTCTCCTAGTTTTTCCCTCCCATCTCAACCACCACCAGTTGTATAGTTCATTTTCAACACAGTGTGTAGTGAGTATCACTGCTGCACTGTTCATCCTTTGGCCCACCATCTCTGTGCTTCCCTCTTTACCCTCCCCAAAACAGATAAACTTACAAACAAAACAAAAGGTACAGAAAACAAAAGTATAAAGGAGAAAAAACAACAAAACAACAAGAAAACCCTATTTCTTGGAGTTCATTTAGATCAAGATGGTTTCATATGACCATATGCACATAGCTATTGAGCCTTTGTGATCCTCTCCTAAGAATATCCTCTCCTTTGGTCTCACTGTGTGAATGTAGGAGGCACTCGTGACTCTGCCATGGCCACAAAGACTGACACTCTGCTCCTCCCTGCACTCAGCTTAGGTTCTCCAGCTGTCTGATATACCCCTAAGCACCCCTTTGAGCTCTGACTTAGGTGTTTTCTCTGATTTGCCGATAGGAAACTGCAGGCCTCAAAACCTCCATTTCATTCAGAAGGGAGGCTATAATAGCAGCAGCTAGGTACTTAGGAGACACACATGCTGCTTCCTGAATCTATTTGAGCCAGCCTGTCCCACAGAGAGCTGACCATTTTTCCTCCCAACCCAATTGCCCTTCCAGAGCCCCTCTAAGGCAAGCTCTACATTCTCTAGATTCCCCGAGGATAATGTTCCCTATTACTAGCATCCCCCTCACTAGGAGTGTCTATAAGTCTTTAGAACCTGGAACCCCTCTAGCCTCAGCATTGACACTGATACTGTCCGGGCTATGGCTGTCTTCCCTTCCTGTGCCTTCACTTCCTCTGGCTGTCCTTGTTTTGTAGCTTCTCTTCCAACCTGTACTTCATACCAGCAGCAAAATAACCTCCTCCTGCCTCCCAAATCTTCAGGTCTCCCCTGATGCATAAAATAAAATGCTTTCTTCTCAGGCTAGCGTGGAAGGAAAACCACTGTGTAACAACTGTCTTAGAAATGGAAATGAGGAAAAGATTACTTCTAAATAGACATCATAGTGCCAGGCACTGGTGCCTCACACCTGTAATCCTAGCTACTCAGAAGGCTGGGATCTGAGGATCACGGTTCAAAGCCAACCCGGGTAGGAGTCCGTGAGACTTTTATCTCCAATAAACCACTAGAAAACCGGAAGTGGTGCTGTGGCTCAGGCAGTAGAGCACTCGCCTTGAACTGAAGAGCGCAGGGACAGTGCCCAAGCTCAGAGTTCAAGCCCCTCGACCAACCAGATAAATAAATAAATAAAGCACAAGAAAGACATGTGAGAAAGGGTGAACAAATGCAGCAGTGGTACTCACTAGACACTATGTTGAAGACGAACTATTCAACTGGTAGGTGGAGACTGGAGGGAAAAACTGAGAAAGAGCAAGGAAAGAAATGACATTGTTCAAAAAGAAATGTAATCTTTACCTGACTTATGTAACAGCAACACCCCTGAATATCCCCTTTATAATAACAATAAAAAAGAAAGACACATGAATAGCCAAAGCTATTCATAATAAATAATAGAGACCAACTAGTTTTTGTGCAAGGCTTTGAAAAAGAAGCCAGAGGACTGAAGCAGCCTGAAAACCTGCCATGTCTTGTGTCCTGATCAGTAGGACATTAGCAGCAAGAAATTATATTACTTGACTTTCTGAAATGTGACTGTGATACATTAAAAACCAAATATCTATATTAACTTCAATAATATATTTGGGGATGTCAAAACATGCCCTAAAATAAGCAAAATTATCTCTGCTATGTAAGTACTATTTTAAATAGACAAAATAACATATTCAATTTCAAAACTGTAAAATCAAGTAAGCTCATTAAAAACAAAAACAAAATTTAGAGGATCTGATTTTAAAATATACAAACTTCAGGGCATTCATAAGGTAAAATTATTTGTGGGTAGAGGGGGCTTGGTTCTAAATTAGTGCCTTCACAAAGAATGAAAGAAAAACTGAACCTGAATGTCTGCTTAGGTTATCTTTTCCCTTTAACACAAAATGACCTAACAAAAATTGGGCTATGTAATTCACTAACATGATCTACTGGCTTCAGCATTAACTTTCTTTACAGCCTAGTCAAACAATTCTCTCCTCTGGGTTTCATATTTTTACA